CTCCCCCCCATTCCCACCCCCTTTATTTCCATGGAATAGGATTTTTTTAAACATCCCTTTTTAAAGATCACAAAGCCCCACAGGGTTCTCTTTGTTTGGTTTTAAGTGGGAAGATCTTTGAGTTTGTGTATTTGTATATATTTATATATATATTTGAAGTAATCTTGCCTAAGGGTTAATTTGCTGTTTTCTGCTGAATAAGTTACCAAACTACTCCTTACTCAGCAGTTTTTTCACAGAGCTGTTTTGTCTCAGTTTCCAGTAGTTTTTTTAATGGTCTTCATTTATGTGCAAAATATGTGGTCCGTCTTCCTCCATATTCTCAAAAGATATATTTTTGCAGGTCTTCAAGTTAGTAATGCTATTTTTGCAGATACTATTGCAAAAGGAAAACCACATTTAAAATAAAAAGCATGATATTTACTGTTTATTTATCTGGGTTTGAAAAAAAAAAAGTGGTTTTGGTTTCCTATCCTTTATAATAAAACTCTATTAAAAATTGCAGAGTCCATGATTTGCTTTGCTTTAAGTATACCTTTCTGTGACAGGATAACCATATTTTTCAAGCCACCATCTTTCCTTGTATGAAATATTAGTAAATTTACACAAAGCCTAGAAAGGGAGCCTGGTTACAGATTGTCCAGAAATCTATATTACTGATCTTTCAAATCCATATTTCAGTATTTTTATTCAATTTCCTTGATTAAAATTGTGGGCCCTATATTTCTTATTTTAAGTTCAAATCATAAAACTCTACCAATCTTTAAAATAAAATATTTCTTGAATTCCACAGTTAAAGATAAAAATTGAAGTGTGGTGTTCGTTTCTTCTGCCTTATGATGTATTCTTCTATCATCCATTCGAAAATGTTGCATGGCAGTGACAAATCTCCATTGATATCTTAGCCAGAAATGCCTCTTGCTCCATTTGTATGCCTTTTAACACTACACGGATAAGTTTAAACATTCCTTTGTAGTCAGTTTATTCTCATTTTCTCAGGAATTTTTGCTTAGTTGGACTCATTTGTTGCATTCATTCAGACCAACTTAGCTTTTTTAATCAACACTAAAGCTGTGAGGAGCTGCACGCATAAAAGCACATTTTGCTCCTTAAACTGAGTATGCATGTACTGAATGAATTGAAGTGTTTCTGGATTTGATTTATATTAAAATTTTGTTTGCCTTGAAAGACACTAAAAATATAGGCAGTTGTCAATGGTAATGGTAACTTCACTATTTCTTCCTGTTTTATAAAAACAAAATCTTCACAAATAAATAGATACGTTTTCCATAGCATATAGATCCTTAATTTTTTAATATCTTCTAAGGCTGGAGATGTAATTTAATGCACACTCTTCTGAGTGCCCTAGAATCCAGCACTGGCCTGTTAAGTAGGCAAGTCATCTACATTTATAATCATCTGTACAACAGGTTCCCAAGACATAGTTCCTTAAAAACTTTTCCAGCTATAATAACAACTTCTCTGCAGATCTGCAGCTCAAACCACAGCTCTGACCATGCCTCAAATAACCTCATTTGGGATTGGCACAGCACTCACTTGTCCTTTGGGAAGAACAAAACTGAAACAGCAATCACAATAAGAGCTGAACTCTCCAGGTAGGATCAAGCTTAATTTACAACTAGAATGTGCTGCAGTTGTGCCAAGAGGCATTCCTACCTACAATCTTTTACATAAGCTGGACAGCTTGAGGACAGAGGCAGTAACCCCTGAATACAGCTGATGCTGCTGGTGTTGCCTGACTCTGACTTGTGGTATGCATGCACACACACACGTGCACACACACTTACATGCACACACAAAAGAAATCCATATGTCTGAAGAAAGCTTGACAGAGCCAATCAAAATGACCTCTTTAAAATTTTCTCTATAGAAACTGTAATCTCAGGCCAATAACAGAAAAAAAAATCCAGAAAGCAGCAAAAATTAAATAAAAGTACAAATGCCAACAGGAAGACACTTTAATAGTGCCCTGTGCACTGCTTGCAATGCTTGCCTTCTGATGCCTGGATGTAGTCACAGGAAGGCAAGCAACAGATTTAACTGAAAGCCAAATTCTTGCAGAAGCTTGGGATCACGACACCAACAGCTATAGGGACAGCCAAGTCAGTCCCTGTCAAACAATGGGGAATGAACCTTTCTTGACATCTTGACAGTCATTTGCCCTGCAAGGAGGATATAACAGTCACATACGTACCTTGTTGCAACTTAAACAGAAAACTGATGCTTTGCCAGGTCAACCCTAGAAGAGCTGGTAAGACCCCAGGAGAGTAACTCATAGGAATCTGCTTCTGGGAGGTGGGGAGAGGGGGAGAAAGGGAGGGAAAAAAAACTCTGAAACAAAGAGCAGGAAAATTGGAGAATCTTGATGCACTGAGACAGGTAAGAAAGAGTTGAGGAAGGGTGAGAAAATGGCTGCTATAGGATGACAGCTAAGGAAATAACAGAATTGGATTAGGAGACTGAAGGCAAAAGCAGCAAAAGAAGGAAGTCAGTGATGAAAAGAGTATGAAGAAATGACAAAGATGAAAGCACAGAAAAAGGAGGAAAATGAAGAAGAATTAGGCAGAGGAATCTGTTAATGTACTTATTAGAGGATAAGTAGTATCCAATTAACTTTCCAAAGCCTAAAAGGAACAGTGTCAACATCTTACTTGCTGCTTTTAACACTTACAATGTCATGGAGATACACTGACATCTGGTAAAATTCAAAGCAATGCTTAAAAAGCAGTCCCTTCTTAGAGGAATTTTTGGTAACATGCAGTCTGAGAAACGGTTCATACTTTTAGCATGAGACAAGAATCCACGAGTAGATAAATCAGCTTTGGAAAATATTTACTCTTCCACTAAAAGATGTGGACCTCCATCCTTTTGCAGCCCTCTCATGCTTATATTTAGAACCATTGTCTGTTCTAAAGGAAACTACAAATCTCAGACCTGATCTCATTCACCTTCATTGTCGAACCACTGGTTTGTTTTCTTTTAAGTAATGAAGTAGAACTCCTGCGTGTATGGGTATATGTTTTACTCTTCTTTTGAAACAAAACTTTCTCTTTTCTTTTCTTCTCTTTTCTTTTCTTTTCTTTTCTTTTCATTTTAACTTTAAGAGCTTCTGCTTGGAGTTCGTCTGTCATCCACCAGAGCTGATATTTAATTTCTCTTTGATAGCTTCACTTAGCACTGTTTGTTCTGTAAAACCCCCAGGCAAAAGTCTCCTCCGGGAATCATACACAGGTTCTTGTCTCCGGTCTTCTGCTC